GAGTTGCGGATTAAGCTGGCACTCTTTCGTTTGCGAATGGGCTACGAGCACAAGGACGAAGCTCTGGTAAGTTTTTCAGTACACGATTAGTAGCCGGCCTATTTCTGACGCAGGAACTAAGCACCACCTCGAATGGCTAAATCCGGAGGACACATCCGAACATGCCCGGTTGTACGATTATGGCGACCTTTTCCGAGAGGCCGCTGATGCGCTCAAGGACGTCGGGCTTTTCGAAGAGGCACTGCGGTTCTACATGCCACTCCAACAAACAAACGAGTACGCAGATGTCGGCTTTTTCATGGCAATGGGAGAGTGTTGCAGTGTATTGGGCAAGCTTGAAGATGCCGAGAACTGCTTTCTTACGGTTGCGGAGCACGATGCACGGCACGTGGAATCCCGTGTGCAGCTGGCAAAGCTTTATGAGGGCATTGGTATGTCGGAAGAGGCTCTAAAATACGTCAACGAAGCGGTCCTGCTAGGAAGGCAGGAGAGCCGTAGTAACCGCCGGCGCAAGGACACAAGGCTGGAACAGCTCGCTGTGGAATTTAAGACCGCCGATGCGGCTCGTGAAGACGCTGCCCTGAGGTCAATCGCGCCTCAGCCCTCAAGCGCTGACCTGCCGACTGCTCTGACTACTACTGCACCAGCTGCAAAGGACACGGAGATGAATGAAGAGCAAAGGATAGCAAATGTGCAATATCTCTATGGCAAGTTGATGCAGCTGCTTCCGCAAGCGAAAGAAGGCAACGCAGAAGCCACGGAGGACTGGCTGGATATCGCAGACGCTTTACTGCGCGAATTCCGGTCAAATCGAGTATTCTACCCTATTCAGCGCAACATAACCTTCTTAGGCTATTCGCGCGAAGCACAGAGAAAGGCGGGGAGGCACAAGGGGCGCAACTTCATCGATGAGATGCAAGAAATGGCTGGGCGTCTCCAAGAGTCTTTAGGTAATGGATGTCCTTCTGTGACATTGGGGCATAGCTAATCGTTATCTAGGGAGTATTCCTGACGAGCCTCTTCAAGGGGCTATACCGACTGACTACTATGGAATCAGCTTCAATGAATGGCTCGACCTCTTCCTGCAGTATGCCCTCACTGTGGCGGCGCAAGGAGAATCCGACGAAGCGTACGACACGCTCGCAGCCGCTGCGGATGCCAGCGTCTGGTATCACTCCAAAGCCGACACCCGCATGATTCATGTTTGCTGGTTCAGTGAGTATCTATTGTATCATATTCTGCATGGGATACTGACCTTCCTAGCTTGTGCGCTCCGGATGCAGGACGAAGAGACGCTAGCAAATGAAGCACGATGGTTTATCAAGGAGTACCAATTCGTGACTGACACCTATCGCTTGTTCGCCATGTTGAGCCGGCTCGTCGGTGATCCTCACCGGTCTTTGTTCCACTCGTCACCAAACATGAAGTTTATGCTGCGTCAGATCAAGGCTATGGACTTTACTATACCCGATGAGGTTACAGGGGAGCGACCCAGTCGGTTCGTGCGTGAGTCGGCTTACAAGGAACGCGCATCCTTGTCTACACGAGACGAGACAACGGGCGAAGCTATTCCGGCAGATGAAATGGACGTTGCCCTCCTTGTGCTGTACGGCCACATCCTTTACTCGGGAAACAGTTTCTACCCAGCCCTGAACTACTTGTTCCGCGCCTATGCACTGGACGATCAGAATCCAGCCGTCCTGCTCTCCATCGGCCTCTGCTATATCCACCACTCACTCAAGCGCCAGTCCGAAAACCGTCACTACCTCATCATGCAGGGGCTGTCATTTTTGCAGGAATATCGACGCGTCCGTGAACGACCAGGAAGTTCTCTTTCAGAGCGGCAAGAGATGGAATTCAACTTTGCGCGCGTCTGGCATAGCTTAGGAATCGCTCATCTAGCAATAGAAGGCTACCATCTTGTGCTAGATCTCGGCGCACAGATCCAAGCGCAATCCCAACAAACGGACTCGCACCATAAGGATGGCGGCGATGTCGTCATGGGCGATACAGGGCTAGGAGCGCAAGCTCCCTACGTGGAGGACTTTTCGCGGGAAGCTGCGGTAGCGCTGCAGATTATCTATGCCCTAAACGGCGATTATCAATCGGCCCAGAAGGTCACGGCCAAATGGCTGGTAATTTAGTCAATCAGTTTTGGTGGCGAATCATCGATTCCGGGGTCACCTGTACCGTGTACCAATACCTACTGACTGTACATAACGACTTAACTAATCCTTTAGTTCAACTACTAATGCCGCGAAGCAAAGTGGGATGGATGGGTGGATGCTCTGCTAATGCACGCTCAGGACCCGGATAGAGTAGTACCTAGGACTCAGACCTCCATCAGCTTATGCACCTACTTTGTCCCTCCTTAGCTACTACCAGCTACTTTTGAAAAGAGAACACCCCATGACCTGCATGCGAGTAATTAGTAATTATGTATCTGTGCAAATGACCATTTCTTACCCTGCCAAGTCAAGCATAGTTTACTCCAAGGGTACTTACGTACGTGGTACATATTAGTACTTCCCCGCTTCCTGTCATATCATGTGGCAACTTACTAGCTACATATTTACTTTACTGTTATTTGTTATTGTGTAATGATCATCATATTTGCAGCATATGCACCATGACATAAGAGGCGAACATGACAGGCAGGGGCACAAGGGAGGACCCGCCACACTCACACATGATTGCATTGTTATGTATGATGTACCTTATATGCAGAGTAACATCATCAGCGGCAGCAGTGGCAGCAACGTGGGTTTGTTTTCTTTTGTTTGTTTGTTTGTGTCTGCGTGGCGACTTTGATTTTGATTTTGACATGAAGCTTAAAACAGACAGGGTCCTGTGACTGTCTTGGTTGTTACATCGAGTAGGAGTATGTATCGGTACGTGGATCCTATGAAGGGAAAGAGAAGCTTGATTATTACGCTTCGTATGTATTTAATGGACTGTCTCGAGTATCAGGTAATACTGCGTAGCTGGTTTTGGGGTACCTGTGTATAGGTAGTATATAATAGCTGTCTAAAATATGAATGTGGGGATGTAGTATTAATACTATATTTAGGGTTCTTTTTCCTGTGATATCAACTAGTACTATCTACTTATTACCCTTCTATCAAATTAGTAGTTTTATACCTTAGAATGAATGATAATAACATAGTAGTATTTCTCTTGCGCTACCACTCTTGCTTATCTGGCATAGGAATAGTTTCGACGGTGTAGTATATAGTAGTATCCCGCTCTCTAAGATTTCCACAGATACTTACATCTTGGTGATAAAAGATCAGCAGTGTTATCTATTCTAAATGACATCCAACGATGCTACAATTTAAAGCAGCCTCAATTTATAACTGCTTTGGACAGTAGACATCTATAATATTGTCGAGTCAGTTGTTCTATTTATTCCTAATACTACCCCTTCACGGTCATTCATGAGCTGTATACAATCCACACAAGATATACTACTTACTAGCCAGTGGAATTAATACTTCTAACCGGGCAATCATTCATAGAACGGAAATTGATACTTAGCTAATCGGAATCTAGTCCGCCAGACCAGAAGGTAGTAATTCTCCAGTAATCATCCCTAACCTCCTCGAATATCCCAACCACCTCATCCTGTTATGATGAAGCTCCCCCTTTTCCCTGATCGACGACAAACCCAACTAACAGAGGGAGCAACGGCATAATAGCCAGACGGGCATTTGGAGACCGAAATGGCCGATCTTGTCCCTGCTTCCTCCGCAGAATTTTTTCCAACATGATGCAAGCCTACCGAGTAACCAACTGGCCCTTAGATCCTGTTCTCAATTAGGGCACAACTTGAGGCGACTAACTATCATATTAATTGCTCTGGACACCTGATACGTGCAGCTAGACTATTTGAAACCGAAGACATCGAGAGAAAACGCGTATATATCCTAGTCAGTGACGGCATACTACAAGCGTGGACCAAGCCTCTTCTTTAGTACATCTCTTCCAGATATACCGCCCAAGACGAAATGGGAATTTGAAGAGATAAGGCATACTTCTGAGTAATTTCTCTTTTCTCAAAAGGTCTTGCTGCCCCCATTCACCAACATGCAAGTACTAGATCCCCGCCCAATGCAAGAATTGTTGCGGTGCCACCGTGACTGCAGTTTAACACTCCCACAGGAAATACTGACCAACTCGGCGATTCTGGAGGTCTTTCTCATTGAAGCCATTTCCCCAGCAGCAGCAATCATAAAACCGAGTAGCAATACAGCGCCTCTCTCAGCGACCAGCAAGGTCTTGGCTGCCACGATTGGGATGCATTGTGCGCCATCATGTTGGGATTGGGACTCCCTTGGCCTTGAATTTTGGTCTTTGGACGAAGCCTCTCTTTCATATGCGTTTGATGATTTGATGGAATTGATGGAGCTGGGTTCGGGTGGTAGGGAATGATTGGGGGCTGTCTTGGGTTATAGTTGTTTTGTAAACTGTTTGAGGGGGTTGAAGGGTGGTAATCAAATGAGAGGGGTTATATTACTACTTATGTGGAAGGTAGGGGTTAATGTGGATAGTAGTAGTAGTATGTAAATAATAACTACTGAGAAGGGGAGGATTGATCAGTAGTAGTTGGTCTTAATGAAAGCGGGGGTGTGCGTTACCGTTGACATCATGATATATTGAGTGATTAAGTTGGAGTTGATTTAGACTAATCGACGAGTCCCAGTTTCTGGAACTACTTACAATTACTCTCCTGATCAACGCAATAAGCAGACGGATATTATCGTAGAACACCTCATTTACTGTATATTAGTACCACTAAGCACTGCAGTCTGCTGATAGTATTACTCTCATCTGACATGCATTAGCAACTCGAGCGGAAATTACTGGCATCACCTCCTTTCATACCCTACTAGTAAGTTAATGTAATGTAAATAGAGTACAAGTAGTATTAATATCTAATTTCCCCAACAGGATCAAAAGAAATTACTAGAAGATAGATAAATAGCAAGCTAGCTAAAGAAGCGCATCAAAAAGTACCACACCAGGCAGACAGACAGACAGACAGACAGACAGACAGACAGAGATAAGAAAAAGAACGTCTTCTCTCATCCGGGCCTAAGCGCCTCATCATCACCGTACATATCCACATCATCAAAGAAAACCGCCGACTGCCGTCTCATCTCCTCAAAAATACTACTCCCCGTACTACCCCGACGGTGTTCCGGGACCCGCAGCAACCGAGAAGACGAAGCCGAAGAAGTCGGTCGCCCAGCAGGTTCGTTCGATGAATTCTCCGACAGCGATCCGTCCAGTAAATGCGCGTCTTCTCCGCTGCCGCCGCCTTCGCCGAATGTGATGTTAACGTTGTCCCCGCGTCGTCCGGGAAGGTTGTGGTCCAGGCGTTCGTTCAGGGGATCGGTGGCAGTGCGGGGGCTGGGATTGTAGTGGTTATCCGGGTCGTTATTTGGGCGCCAGCGAGATGGCGCCGGAGAGATCGGTCTGCCGCCGGCGTGCGCGAATTTCTGTAAGCTTTTTACGACGGCGATTTCGATCTTTAGTCTGTTTTTGATAAATTGGAGCTTGGGGAATGCGCTTTGCTGACCCACGCGGAGCATGCGGGCGAGGCGCTCCGGGTTGGGGTCCGAGAGGATGTGAAAGAAGTCCGAGGGGACGGTCTTGGGCCAAATGGTCACTGTGCCGCTGAATTTTTGCAGCCAGATCTCGCTCCAGTCTTGGCCCATGGGCCGAGGTAGGAGTTCGAGGTGCCGCAGGACTCGGAGCCATTTGTTCATGTCTAGTTTGATGTATTGTTCTATCGCGGAGCCCAGGAAGCCTCCACGCCAGCCGCGACCTTTGCGGTGTGTGACTGGTCGGCCTACGGTGCCTCGGGAGCTGAAGAAGAAGAGGTTGATGTGTGGGTTTACCTAGTAGGGAGGGGTGGTGTTAGTCCAGTGTGCTCAATGTTGGGTAAAATGAGAGGAGGTTCTACCTGTGAAACGATGGTAAAGTTGACGTTGAAGTGAAGATTCAATGCTTTGATGGGAATATCGGTGCGCAAGCTGCCATCCTTCCACTTGTGTCCGAACGAGTACGGCGCCAGGGTGCCGTCGCGTTTCTTCGTCATCAAGACGACTGGGTTCAGGATGCCAGGGACTGCTGCAGACGCGAGCACTGCGCTCCATATTACGCAATTAGGTGAAGTTAGGTAGTTGGCCAAAATTGTAGGCGAATGAGGGTCAGATGGCACACAAGATACATTCAGGATGCGCCCTGTTCGTTCGTATGCCTCCCGAAACGTAGTTGAGCCCCTGCAGAACCAGCTACATTGTCGGGCCCATTCAAGAGTATCAAATCTCGCTCCTGTCCGCCACCATCGCCATACCCAAGTCGGGAAGCCCTCCTGGCATGCCCTGATCCGATGCGCTAGAGCAGGCACCAGTAACTGCTTCAACTCCTCGTCGGTCCTCGTAGCAACTAACGCAGCGACCAGCGCTCCTCCTGACGTGCCCGTAATTATTTCCGGCAGAACCCCATTATCCAGTAGCGCTCGCACTACTCCAAAGTGGTAATAGGCGAATGTAGCGCCTCCAGACAGGCAGAGGGCGGTTCGACCAAAGTTGGTGTCCAAATGCTTGAAATGCTGTAATTTCTCCTCGCTACCGATTCCCTTCGAGTCTGCGACCAATTGTATGCACGCATGCAGCTCGTCAATGTATTCCTGTACCAAGTTTTTGGTACCAGAGTAAGCCTCACTGTAAAGTCGGGGATTCTCCACCCCAGCGAAGTTGTTCTTGACACACGCTTCCAGTAGTGTGCATAATTCTTCAGCTGCAGGTGACTGGCCTGAGCCGCGACGTTTCTCACGCCTTTCACGCTCCACCTCCCGTCTCACCTTCTTCAGCTGCTTCACTAGGTTGCTAATCGTAAGATGATCGTAGTAGGCGTATTCGTCGATCTCCTTCCATCTCTGATTCCCCAGATGATCGTCGAGCGCTCGGGCGGCTTTTTGCCAGTCGGGGTAATTCGTTTGCGCGCGTAACTGTCTTCTGAGGCTTTGCCTTCTGCCCCGCCATGTTACCCACTGCTCGTACAGGAAGATGTAGACACGGGTGAGTGTGTAGGCAAAGGCGAGGGCCGTGATCCAACCAAAGACGGTGAACAAAAAGGGCCACTTCAAAACTGTGTATAGCACACCTTCTCTGGTCTCATCCTTGGTCCGCCTAGGCTCTTTGCGGCGCCCACGTTCGCGCCTGACCCGTTGGTAGATGGGGCGCCAGTCGTTGAGGGCAACGAGCGGTGACGCGCCCTGGTCCGTCAAGGCAAGCTCGAATTGGCGCAAGTCATCGGGATTGATGAATTCTCGGTCGTAATCCGGTATCGTACTGGGATCGTAGGTGTCACCAGCTGCAGACTTCTCCGCCCCGTTCATGATTGATGATAATAATGCATGTTGGGTTAGAGATCGGGGATATGTGTAGTGGGGGGGAGTAAAGATAATCCTTGTGACAAGAATCAGTGACGCGCACTGGACAAGACATCGACGTCAGAGAGTTGAGTTGACACCGCCTCAAGTCTCCGGCGCCACTAATTACTTTGTTGGGCCCCGTGACGTCGAGTGGATGTGGCTGGGTCTGTGGGGCTGGGCACTTTGACCAGTCTTCCCAATGGGGACCTAGCCTCAGGAATCAAGGATGAGTGATACCACTAGTCCTATCTGGGAAAGATCATGGCGGAGAGTTCCCGACGGCATTCTCTCTGAGCAACCTCGTGGTGCTTGCTTGCTTGTTTGCTTGCTTGCTTCCAGCCTCACCGGTGGTCCAAATGACAAGCCTGCATACTTTATTGGCGGCATACTATTGCCAGGGATGTAGGGCTCAAGCACTACCATATTGCTTATGACAGTCACGAATATAGCGCAAAGAAGCTGACTCGGTGAGGCCTAGAATTCGGCTGAAGCTGAACCATACTGCGTGAGAAGCAATATCTGCTCCGTCATATTGTTATGTCAGAAAGCATCAGCTTAACTAGCTATACGTCCACTGTGTACACTGTGCTGCGTACTTACACATGCACTTAGGACACGCAATCACCAAAGTGCCAGCACACCTTCATTGCAGCAAGCGTTTGTTGAAGTCTATCTATCTGTCTTCTTCGTCTCGGTGGCCCGTGTAGTGTTGATAGATCGACATTGCAGACGAAGAAGCCTGCAAATCACTTCCCAAGTGACTATGATCATCGGATAGGATAAACACCCGATTACGTGATAAGATGGCTGCCATGAGCCATACCCTGCCGCTTAAATCTGGGGAGCATTGGAATGTGTATCGCGCACGCACGCGCTGGAAGAACACGCGGGATCGGCAAGCAAAAGCAGACTGTCAGCATGACTTGGAGGGAGGGAAGGGCAAAGGTAATTGCTCCTCATAACCTATCGCAGGACTATGATATAAACAGGTCACCGATACGTATGGCATAGGTGGTCAGTAGTCTTGCGAAGCTGAGTCGCTCAGCTGCGCGCCCGTATCTCCATGATAGGATTCTGCCTGTCCACCAGCCGGAGAGTGTACCGTCGCCCCTCCCCTCCATGAGCACAGTCCTACCTACATTAGCCGCCTGAATCTCAATGTTGCCGGCCGTCTGGGTGTGAATTATCGGTGTGACAAGGGGCACGAGGCATGGCTCTAAGCATGGGTTTGATTGGAGTACTATTCGCAGAACAACCCTGGCCGCCATTCCTGATGTGATGGCGTTCGCAACTCGACATTGCGGGGTAAATTTACCGACTCTCCAAGTGTTCAACAACAATCGGAGACTTCTACCGGGTGGTCTGTGAGAATGCTGGGGTTGGTCAAAGGGGGCGGCGGCATCGTGGTAGATAATTGGTTATCACCACCAACCACGGCTGATACGGAGGCTGGAGGAATCCAGTAGAACGAATGATTTGCAGATACTGCGGATTATACTGGTTGGTGCTATGGACTAAACCTTCCTAGTCGTAAAGAGTACCCCGCCAATGTTGTAGAAACTTCGTAGGGTTTAGCCAGCACTTGGAAGGTTCTTCTTGCATGTTGCTGATCTGGTGTCGTACTAGTGGTGGGTTTGGATGCTGAATTTAGCCAACTCGCTTTGAGTATCACATTCATGCCCTCACATCCTCCGATCGCATCATGCCATGAGGACTAAACCCACCCACCTACATACGTAACTTGCTTTTTCCTTTCGATTGTTCTTGTTCGTTCTTCTGTCCAGCAGACAGCATCAGGTTTGCTTCCACACCTTTTATACATCATGCATCTTGTTCACCACGAAACCGGAATTCTTCAGCTGAACAGGGCAACGCAACAGCGATAGATAGATAGATAGATAGATAGATAACTAGTAGGTGATGTTTCTATTGTTATTATTTTTCTCCCGTTGCGCGGTAGCCGCTTTTCCGCCCTTGGGAGACTGGGGATCCGGTTAACGTTGAACCTTAGCCACAACAAACTATCCCTCTAGCGAGCATCGTCCACGGTTCATGAACTAAGCCTCTGCCGTTTGTCCTTCTATCTATCATTAACCCAGTTGATGCTTAGGTTTCCCGAAATGGTGGGATGCATCAGGGTCAATCCTAAAATTTCCACCATCATTCCATAACTGAACTCAACCACCCAGTTGCGCCCGTGTTTCTTCTTCCCACCTTTTTTTTCAACTAATGCATGAAGATCGCGCCTCGGTGGTTTTTTACTTCCTTGGTCCTGTATGCACCATACATACAGGATGTAGTGCGGTACGTAAGTACTTACGGAGAGCCCGCAGAGACGGGATAGACAGACAGACAGACATCATTTCTTTCTTCCTGTCTCTCTCCCTCATCCTTGGCGTTTCTCTCCCTGCAGTTGGTTAGTCACTAGTATACAAAGTTACCGGGGAAGGCAAAATTTGCCAAATGGAACAGCGATGTCGGCTTTGATTGGCGACGACAATCGCGAACGACTGCTGATCATTCGAGCGGTTGACTGCAGTGGAGACCCGCCTTTCGAGTCGTCAGATCCCACTGGAGTTGTCTGTTCCCCCCCGTATCCACACTCGGTTTTCCACTCCCGGCCCGGGCTTTTGTTAGGTCTCGTTGCTAGACTACAGTACTATCAATCATTCAATGGTTTGAAAGGAACGGCCTCCATAATTCAGACTAAACAATGACTCCATTCCTCCACCAAGCAAGCGGGCAGATCAGATGTCATAAAGGTCATGTGCACTCCCCCATTGTTGAATTTCATTGGAGGTCCGCAATAAACACCAAACCCGGGTCTCCATTCCAACCATCTACAGCACCCAGTACACAGTATTTGCCTCCCGAAGGAAACAGAAAAACACCCCAACCTAGCATTCCTACATCGGAGCCTGCTCGGATGTTTGGCCCTGTAAGTAACGTTGTCGCCGAGAGGGTTCTACCCCAGTATGTGAGACACCATTCAAGCAGGGATACGGGTAAACAAGGATGAGCCACTTCCACTACTCCTCGCATGATAATCGATCAGAAAAAAAAAAAAAAAATATGAACAAGACCTGGAACACTACTCCTAGCATGCGTTTTCCAAGCGCATGGCAAATTGAAGAAGCATGCGGCCTTCGCCCACAACGCCGAGGAAAGAAAGTTTCTGATTGGCAATACCGCTCCTTTCATCTATAGGCGGCAGAATAAACAACGTCCGATCTAGGACGCACCTGGAGATTTCTTTCCATGTAGGCATCTGCGTGTAATCCTGCTACTGCAATGATGGTGCCTTGTCATCTAAATCGATCGGGGGGCGAGACACTGGAAGCCAAGAAGAGACAGAGAAGAAAAAAAGGTCCCGACCCTCAACAGTAATTTGCGACGAAAGTAAGGAACGGAGGCGTCGCGAATGTATTATCATGAAACAGGGACTCGCTACCGAAGGTTCTTTCTTTTTTTCTCCTACCCCCCGCTGTCATGGAGATACGTACCAGGTGGTGTCATTGTGTACTGGAAGGAATTGGAGAAATTTCTTCCACGGCACGGCAAACCGTCTGCCAAAATTTTATGGCTATCAGTTTTAAGGCAACGATCACGGACCATCTGGTCCACTACCATGGACGTCATCGAACAGAGTTCAAAGACTTTTTTTACCCCTCGTCGCGATCGATATTGTCGGAGATCACAGGAACGTGGGCATTCTGTATGGATGCATAGACGAGGCCGGCAAATGATGAAACCCGCCTAGATAGCCAGAGGGGCAGGGTAACCATGGATCGAATGATGTTATTGCAAAGGAGGGTTGGGGAGTGGGCACCGGGAGAAAGAATGTGGTGTGATGATGGACCATGGTCGGTAAGCGGTGTGACTGACAGCGGGAAGGGAGGAGGGTAGTAGGGATGCAGTGAAATGGGAACTTGAACTGGAACTGGAACTCTGTAGGCGACACAACGGAGGTTTAGGTTTCGCAATCGAGATAACCACACAGTACATCATCGCCCCAGCAGCTTTATGTACGCGTAGTGTTTCCCGAAGCTCAGGAATGTGGGAGCATGATTCGCTGGGGGGAGGGCAGGTTGGTCTACGAACAAGCAAGTCGAGCGATCACTTCGCCATGGCCGATGACCGATGACCCGATCATCCAGTAGACGGTATGGAGTAATGGGTGGTGGTCAGTTGATCATAAAGATGAGACTGAGACCTCCACTTGAGCCTCTCAAGAATGTTAAAGGTCAGTGCGAGATAAAACAGGTACGTAGGTTGATGAATACCAGACTAAAAGTTAAGCACAAAGTATCTACATAGTACCAATCGTCATAGTTGGTAGACTTACTGAAGGGAGTAACTATTCATGTAGATAGATAGAGAGAGTATTCTTTTGAGATACAATCATTCTATCTGCCTCGGAACGAGGGGAGATGTCTTTCCGAGTTTCAGGCAATGACCGAAAGGATGGATGGATGGGATGAATGGATGGACGCAGGGCGAGTCCCCATCCGGACAAGGCGAGAAGTTTCCAAAAGTTGCGATGTGTCCGATTCCCTCTTTTTAATTATCTCGAAGCCGCTACTGTACGGTCATTTCTGGTATATACGTATAGTTCCAGGTACGAAGTTTTAGTAAGTATTTAGTAGGTATCTAAAGCTGCCTCATCCCGGTCGGAATACTTTTAGTAACATCCTAGAAAGTAGAGAGCCCCCTAGAAATGTCCGTGATGTTATTTTGGCTCTCGCCGGTGTCCTTTTGCTTCCCTTTTGGCCCTCGAGGATGTCGCTAAAAATCCATCCTCTAGAGCTTCTCGAGTAAAGCGTCATGCAGGTGCTGGAGAAACGCCTGTGATTCGTTGAAAAGGCAAGTACATGAATGTCCGCCAGGGCGCTATCAGCTGCACGTTTGGGGACCCACCGCCAATCACGGGGCGACTTGACATCGTCCGTCCAGTTACCGCCGGCACAGTTGCATCCGCCTAAGAGGCGGGTCTCTCTCTAAGCACCGCCCGATTCAACCAAACACTGCGCTTCATTCCGTTTCTTACCCCCCTCCTTCCTCCATCCAACATACACAACAGAAATAAAAAACTTTTCACCCGACCTGCAGCATACTGGAGCCGGGCTTGCAGCGGCTTCGAATTGGTCAAGGAAAAATAAGAAAAGAAAAGAAAAGAAATAAAAAAAATAGCATGGCCTACTTACGTTTCCTAGTTACTTGGCAAATTTGATCAACATGGTGTGTGCGTTCTACACCCTCCAGATTGGTCCAGGAATCCTTCCGCCCTTCAAACAAAAAGTATGTGCGTACGGAGTTTTCCTTTCTTACTTAAACATTATTATTACTATTATTGTTGTAGTAGTTGCATACTACTAGTCCTCCGTTACTGCATCAGCCAAGTCCAAGGGTCGGCGATCGGGATACCCGCTTCGAGGGATTCGGAAAGATTGCTCCACTCTTCGCCAGAGCCGAAGAATGGCAGTCCTTCGTTTGACCGTTGTAGTAATACTGTATTGTGTGTATGCTTCCATCCTGAAACCGATCTTGACTGATATCAATGAAGTAACTTTGGGATAACCATTGGTACTGAGAGGGGAAACGCGATAACAACTATCTATTCCTACTATGAGGAATGCCAAAATTTTGAGAGATCGCTTATCAATTCATCATGGCCTTGTCCAACTGAGTAATCCAGAGTACCCCGCTAGATAGAGTTTCCGGAGAAGGCTAACCAGTCATTTGAGGTATGGGTCCGTATTTATCAATTGTATCTGGGCGCTTTCAGTTCTTTCTTTCTTGATAGGATCCGGTAGACAAGGGAACGAAGCTGAGTTGACGAACAACTGGATTTAACAACGGACCTTTCCCGACGGTCGCCACCGACTGGTTTATGGATACAACGATGATTTGATGGATGTAAAAAGGGCCAAAACAATAATGAGGACAAAATTAAGGCGAATCGAAAGTCAAAAAAGACACAGAAGACTAGTATTATTTACTACTTCTCTTTACCTGAGTCTGACTATGGGGTGGTAATCCCGTACCCGCCGTGGTCTTAGCGTACCGTACGATACGTATGCAAGTACGCATGTACCTCTGGACGACGCCCGGTGCAGCGGCTCCCTGACCAAAGGGAGAGCAGGACAAGATAACAGGCGAAGATTTCTATATGATAATAAATTATATTAGTCCCAGTATCGCCAGCCCGTCCTTTTTTTGCCTCTTCCCTCCTTTCCCTCCGTCTCTCCCAGAAGTGACATATTTTTGCTCAACCCAGCAACAAAACACCTGCACTTATCTCGAGACTGCGTCGCATTGTCTTGTGGTTTTTCTTTATTTCTCTTCTGACCGCGCTTTCCCACACCCCCCCTCCCTCTTCATCCCGACAGTAGTTAATTTGAAGGCATACCTTGTCAGCCAACAATAATTTACTACTTGAACCCGGGCTTACCACACTTACTACTACCACCCACACCCCCCTACGCCCCTCCCCCCCTCAGCTGATTGCTCCGGTGCTCATCCATACCCACTCCTCCCTCCCTCTCTCAATCCTCCACTACAAACCCACGTATCGTCCACTAGTCGAAGGTCCGTGGTGCTTTGCATATTAGCTCCCCCCGGTCCTTTTCTTTTTCTATCCAGCCCATCCATCTTCTCCTTTTTCGGTGATCACTCCTGCTTCAGCTCGCCTCTTCCTCCTTCCTCAGCTTCGTCCCGGTGACAGGCTTCTCTTCTCAACTGACATTGGAGACCTTCCCTTTCGTCTCCAACCACTCCATCCCTCCTCTTCCTCGTGTCTAGCATAGTTGTGGTGGGCGGCTTCGTGATTCTGTTCGACGATTAGTTTATCGTTATTGTGCAACCCCCCTATATCTTCGAGGTACATCCCAGCCTTGTCTCCTTCTTTTCGACAATAGTTACGAGGCATAGCGCCTTGGGCTTAGCTATCTATCTTGAGTCGTTTTTTGTTGTTGTGAGTCACGGCTAACTCTCGCCCACTCTACTATCCTGCAGGTCCTCTTCTTTCGCTTTTTGTCTTGCCAGCAAGATGTCGACTCTCGCCGTCCCTGCTGCGAGTACTTGAGCGTTCCTCTTCAGAGTCCGCCTAACCAGATAGACTTTTGTCTCGTTGGGCGAAGCAATTTCCGTAATGGAGAAGCTGAACACTGAAGATGGACAGCTCTTCATAAAAGTTCGTGCGCCCCCTCATAAATTTATTCATCTTGACCTTTCTCTCCTCCCTAGTCGACTTTGCTTGCTTGCTAACTCTAACCTCTTCGTCTAGAATCTCGCTAGTTTTGTTCGTACACACGAAAAGGCCCTTGCAAACGCGCTGCAATTAAAGCGCCAACCTACCAAAAATGCGCAACCCTCCCATACCCAGTCGGGCTCGTCGAGCTCGGCTTCCTCCACTCTTGCAGCGGCCCTGTCCTTCGGGGCACTGAAATTCACTTCGCAGAATGTTAAACCTGCCAAACTCACCCTCACTCCCCATCACCTGTTTTACCTCTTGTCCCGTTTTGAAGAACTTTCTATTGCCGTCGGTCCCCTGAATGTTAGGCTGGAGAATATTCACACGGATGGATCGCAGTCCTATGTGTCATTCCTGAATAAGCCTCAGCGATCCAGGGGTGACCGGGACTCCATCCACTCCGTGTCCAGTGTCCGTAGCGTCATGTCTGGTATGAGTTCACTCTGGTCTTCATTTGGTTTGGTTTCCAAAGACTCGGCTTCCAAATCCGAGAAGGCCAAAGCAGCTCTAGAAGCGGATACCAAATACCTATACTCTGCCTTTACCAAGATCCCCTGCCTGCGTTTAGCCCCTGACCGCCGTGCCCGGTTGATCCGTGGTTACGAAGAATTCCCTTTTGACACTGCCGTTCCATTGCATTCCTTTAAGAATTTGAGCGCGTTAGAGATTATTGATATAGACTATCGCTCGTTCTTCGGCTGGGATAGGCTGTCCGAGCAGTTGCGGACGCTGACAGTCAAGAGGGCTAATATCGAGGACCCAGCAGAATTGCTCACGGGCATTGTGCTGGATGACATTGACAAACGTCGGCGGCGTTCGTCAAAGCATCACCACTCACCCATGATGGGGTGGAGTGGGAATGCAAACCCCCAGCCAGTCAACAAGTCCGAACTGTCTGGTTCGCTCTCTGCTCCCGGGTCGCCGGTTGCTGATGCACCCTTTGGATCCAGTGCTAGCCCCCAAGCAGCTTCGATGATTAGAATGGCATCTGAGGGTTCTAAAGCTCGACCACGCACCGGAAGCATTTCTCCCACACGTCCCACCAGCTCGAAACACTCGACTTACCGTCATGGCCGTGGAACCGCCTCCCGGATAAGACGCACTGGCTCTGGCAGTTCCAACTCTAGCGAAACCTCGGGTCACCGCAGCGCAAGCTCTTCAAATCTACTCTCCGGTGTCTTGCCAGCACACAAGTGGCGGTTCTTGCGACACCTTGGCCTCCCTGACAACTCCTTGACCTCCATCACTGCCGCCGGCCTTGCTCCAGTGGCCAACACCCTACAATCGCTCGATCTATCGTCGAATCTTTTCACCGAAGTACCCGACAGTCTCGCGTCCCTGGTTGCCTTGAGAGCTTTGAACCTCTCTCATTGCATGATCGAATCTCTCCACTCCTTGTCACGCAACCCTCTTCCCGCCATAACCGCACTCAACCTCCGCGGGAACCGTCTCCGTTCTCTCGCGGGAATTGAGAGGCTGCTTTCGTTGGAACGGCTGGACCTCCGAGACAACAACCTTACGGATCCTACTGAGATTGCTAGGCTCACCAATCTCCCTGAGATACGGGAGATCTGGGTTTCTGGCAACCCCTTTGTGAAAACACATCCAAACTACCGTGTTGTGATTTTCAACTTGTTCCGACGCACCCCAGGTTACTCAGAGGACATCATCATAGACGGGTCGGGACCAGGATACACCGAGCGGAAGCAACTGGTGGAGCGAGCTGCGGAACCCGAGGCTGCACCTGTCATACGATCCGCTGCGGCAGATCTTTCTACCGTTGTCAGCAAGCCCCTGCACACAGTTCCTCAGGAGCCTTCCCTGCCTTACGAGCAAATTGGACCAGTCGGACGAGTGGGCCAAAATGGAATCGATGTTGGGTCCACTCGTCGAAAGAAGGGTACACGGCGGAAGATTGCCGATCGCCCAAAAGATAAGCCTTCCGCTGATGTTAATCGTGAATCAGGTGCGGTGGTGCCTTCTATTCCTTCTGTTCAGCCTGTGCAATTACCTGTTGATCCGTTTGTCACGGCAACCCCCGACCGTCAATGGAAATCTGATGGTGGACCTCAGGCCAGACCCGCAAGTCCCAAAATCCCGGAAAGGACTGAGATTAAACGCGATTCATCCGCTCTTCAGACCCAAGACCAACTTGGCCTCCAGCGTGCATTCCAGGGTAAAGACTGGAATGTAGACGGAGATTTCTACAAACGGCAACTAGAGGCTCTTAGGCAAGAACTTGGGAATAGCTGGCTCAGGACGCTCGAGGAACACAGGTGGAAGGATGTGCAGACGGACATCAATGTGTCTTGCACTGCAGCTGATTATTCTGATCCGACGAGGATCCCAGTGGACCCCCTGACCAGGGTGAATCCCCAGGTCATCCTAAGCGGTGGCCATGCCCTAAGTTGACTGCGTGGAAAGACTCCAGTCGACAAGGGCAAATGAAATAAAGAAAAAAAAAATCAAATTGAAAAAAAAAGTTGAAAAAACAACGAAGAGAAAAATAGGAAAGAAAAGACAAGAGGACAAGGAGAGAGATTGAAGGAACAAGGGAGCAAAGAACATCTTGACCTCATCCATGGTCGTTCCTAAGTCTGGAATTTCGGTTTATACCTTTCACACCCCCAGAGAAAAGTTCGGTTTGGCTTCGAAAAACGCAGTTCTTCCACGATACCTTCCGGTTTTTGACTATACTCAACCTTATACACGCAAACCTTTTAACGACATGCTTACGGCAGCTGGTTGTCGAACTGCATCATTCACGGCGTTAGGTGATCTTTCAGAGCTTACGGCCCGGATGCGTGGAACACATGAATGATTCTTCATTCCTCCTTCGTCTTTCTCCTCCCTCTCCCACTCCTCTCTTGCTTCGCCGCGGTTATACACCACCTACGGCCCGCATCCGACCGTTCCCGGCTGGTCCATCTGATTGGTTTACTTTTTTGTTATTATTTGTTCTAGACGGCTTGTATTGTATTTTGGGGCAGGAGTGCTGGTGTCTAGGAGTTCAACTGGTGTCTTGATTTATATACGACGTGATGTTTCGCTTTTTCGGTACTGCTCGTTGTGTCTTGAGTGTTTCCCGTTTCTACTGCTTGCACATGACGTTCCGCGCATGCGATGATCCTTCAGGATGTATACTGAGTTGCTTCTCTTCTCGTTTTCTTTTCTTCTTTTTCTTTTTTTGGCGTGCTGCCGTTTTCTACGGATTATTTTCTGGGACCACCATGGCCCATGATGAGATTCGGACCTAATGCATGAGACACGAAGATGTTGTGACGAGTCAGATCAGATGTTCTCTCTTCCCCGCGGTAGCGCCAATAGTTGAAATGCAATGCGCCATGGGCGCTTTCGGATCAGGTGCATCACACGTAGAGTTGAAAAGGGTGGTGGGGGAGAAAAGAAGGAACATCCCCACTGGAGTAGAATCCAAGGTAGATATGCCGTAGATAAGTGCTTGTCAGGTACCTCCCCGGGGATTTTCAATAGAATGAAGGAGCCAAGGGACATTGAGGCGTTAAAGCAAAGCATGCAAGCGCTCGTGCGACCATAAGGAGGGGGGAGGTCATGGGCATACGTAAGTAGGTCCGAGGTATGGATGTACATGATGTATATGTACATCAGGTAGGTAGATCACCGGCAGGCATGTCGACAATCCACACACGGTTTCAGCACCGTGGGGATCTTTGTTTGAGGGGGTAGAAGAAGCTGGACTGCTGCAAAGAGGGGGGGAAATGCGGCATCGATTGGCGGCGCTCCCTTGCAGCAGGGGGTAGTGCCGCAGAGTGAGTGAGGGTCGAGGTCGGGGGAAGAGATGATCTGGGGTTGAAGGCCAGTAATTAGTTAGTAAGTCTGTAGAGTTTTGGACAAAAGTACAAAGGAGGATGAAGCGGAAATGCAGTCCCCTGAAGAAGGAGGGGTATGGGTAAAGAGAGTTGAGAGAAGAGAGTCGAGACGTTGACAGACCGTTGGAGGGAGAGAGTTTAGTATCAACAGTTAGGAATAGTATTACTAGTAGAAGACACACCCTTGAAGCGCTTTACTGTTTAATGAATGGCGCGCCGCCCGCCGCCCGGGCGATGAACCAATCAGAAGGAATAAACACGAGGCCGGGGCCCTTTCCGTTTTGCCATCCGGGAGTCTCAGGCAGGCAGGCAGTCAATCAAGAGTTCCTCCTCCCTTTGCTTTGCTTTGCTTTGCTTTGCTTTGCTTGACGCTGCGTTGCGTTACTTTGGCTTTGGCTTTGCTTTGATCTCTCTCTTCTTCCCTCTCTCTCACTCTCTCGCCCAGTCCAGGTTTCTCTGCTGCTCCTCTCGCGCGTGTCTCAAGTGGTGAGCTTGTCCTCCTTCGTTACTGCCATCCTCTCTGCCCCTTCCCACCTCTTCCCACACCCCCCCCCAGAATCTTGCTATCATCTATCTATCTATCTTGCTTCTTCGCATTCTGTTTCGCTCGTGCTTCTCCTGTTTCTCGTGGAATTTGGCGAAAACCTTTAAGACTCGAACGGTTTTCCCAGAAAAGCCTTGCAAAAGAAGAAAGAAGAGATCGATCGATCCCTTGATTGCCGGCAACCAAACACAATCAATCCCAACTACTTGCGCGCGCCCTTTCTCTCTCTTGTCACTGACACCCTCACTCAACCACCCTCTTACAAACTTCTCTCTCTCTCTCCCTCCCTCTTTCTCTCTCCCTCTTTCCATCTTTCCCCCTTCTACGTGACTTTCTTGATCGGTTCTTTTACACACCCCTCACGCCACACACACACACCAGGTACAGAAGGAGTAAAGAAGAAGGACTCTTCCTCCCACCCCATCTTCGAACAAGAGCTCGCCTCCAATCTCGGCTTCGCTTGTTGGCCCTTGTTTTTCTCCCCAACCCACCCCCGTTTCTCTCCCGCCGCCGGCTGCTATTTTTTGCAACCGCCCCGTCCAGAAGCAGTCTTTCGCCCAGCGATATCTTCTTACGCTCAAAACCTTGCTAGCCGCATCTCGCCGTTATCAACGCGCTTCGCCTTCATCCTCCCTCCCGTGTGAAAAATTTACCAAGGCCGCTTGCTTCCTTTCTCCATCAATATCTGGCATCGCTGTCGGATCTTCTCAGTGTCCCCAAGGCCATTTGGCCTGTTGCCGCTTTTAACTTCCCTTGTCTCTTTTAGATTCTGTTTGGTAAGCCGACTTCTTACTACTTTTGACAACTTCTCACCCCTCCTCTCCCCGTCGCCCCGTTTCACCCGCCATCCAAGTTCAACCCAGCTTGAAGAAAAAAAAAATTTCCCGGGCGCATTGATCACGCGTTTCTTTCCTCGCCTCCTGCTGCACCTCATTCCATAGTCTGCCCTGCTGTCTCTGGATTTATCTCTAACCTTCATATTTTCGCTGCCACAGCCTATAGACGCCGCGTCATCAATCGTATCGCCTACCGAGCCCTCCGCAAAGCTACCCTTTTCGCGCCCTTCTCTTCTTCCGTTGTCCAACACTTGTGTTAATTGATCCTTTTTTTCTCTTTCTCTTTCTTTTCTTTTTTTTTCGTTCTTTTTTCGGTTCGCACTTTTTTTTCGTTTTCTTTTGCGTCGTCTCTCGTTGGAGTCGCTCAAACATGGCCGATCAAGACGTGGATTTGGACTCGATCATTGATAGATTGTTGGAGGTGAGGGGCAGCCGGCCTGGCAAGCAGGTTCAGCTTCTGGAGTCGGAGATCCGTTATCTTTGCACCAAGGCTCGGGAAATTTTCATCTCCCAGCCCATACTGCTGGAATTGGAGGCACCCATCAAGGTAAAAACGCCATCCCTCATTTGTCCCGGTCGAGCTCGGGTCATCGCGTCTATCTTTCGCGGAAACTAACCCGGTGGCGCTTATTATCAGATCTGCGGTGATATCCACGGCCAGTACTACGATCTTCTGCGTCTTTTCGAATACGGTGGCTTCCCGCCCGAGGCCAACTACCTGTTCCTGGGTGACTACGTCGACCGTGGCAAGCAGTCGCTTGAGACCATCTGCCTCCTTTTGGCTTACAAGATCAAATACCCCGAGAACTTCTTCGTTCTCCGTGGTAACCACGAGTGTGCGTCCATCAACCGTATCTATGGTTTCTACGATGAGTGCAAGCGGCGGTACAACATTAAGCTGTGGAAGACCTTCACGGATTGCTTCAACTGCCTCCCCATTGCGGCTATCATCGATGAGAAGATCTTCACCATGCACGGAGGTCTGAGTCCCGACTTGAACTCGATGGAACAGATCCGTCGTGTTATGCGCCCCACTGATGTAAGTGCTCTTTCCTATCAATATTGTGGGGTCTTTTCCTCGCCTTTCGTGAACAGACGAAGACCAGACCTTTTTTCATTTGTTGACTTAAGGGTCCTGGGAGCGATGAAACAATCCTTTCCGGGGTCCCTGAAGCCTTGAGCTTCGCCTGCTAACGACGATAGATTCCCGACTGCGGTCTTCTTTGCGACTTGCTCTGGTCCGATCCCGATAAGGACATCACTGGCTGGAGCGAGAACGATCGGGGTGTATCCTTCACATTCGGTCCGGACGTCGTGTCGCGGTTCCTTCAGAAGCATGATATGGACCTGATATGTCGCGCACACCAAGTCGTCGAGGATGGCTATGAGTTTTTCTCCAAGAGACAGCTGGTTACGCTATTCAGTGCTCCCAACTACTGTGGCGAGTTCGACAACGCTGGTGCGATGATGAGCGTCGACGAGAGCCTACTTTGTTCCTTCCAGGTAGGCCACCACAAACCAATCCGTACTCGAATGAGGGGAGCGTTCTAGAAACTAACGGGTATTTCCCTCGCATTAGATCTTGAAGCCAGCAGAAAAGAAACAAAAGTACGTTTACGGGGGCATGAGCTCAGGCAGGCCCATCACTCCTCCGCGAAAGCAAAAGAAGAAGTAAGGAATCATACGAGCTTTTCCATGTGCAGCAGGTTCGGGCGGAGATAAGAACGTCATAAGTCCCACACAATGTCACACTACAACGAGAGACCTAAATCCCCAACGACATTCGATGGCCACACATTAGACGATCGGCAGCAGCAGTACACCCCAGCCGCCCGAGAACCTCACGACACGCAGAACGTCTCAATTTCCCCTCCGCGCATACCAGACTCCAGCGACTCCCCCAGTCATTGATTTCCCGCTGAATGTGTTTCATTTCTATATGGAAGGTAGTTTCTGCTCCAAGTAGGGGTTGGTGTTTTCTCATTCTTGTTGATCTTCATTCTTCAACTTCCTTTCTCCTTTACCTTTTTTTTTTTACTTCCCATTGTCCAACTTGTGTTGTCCGAATTCATTTGACAGGAAGGGGAAGCGACGGGCTGCATCTGGTGTTTTCCAAGTGCGTTTTTTATTCAAAATCTTCCTGTGAGTGTAATGCCAACCAAATAAGCAACGACACGCCCGTGTCTTTCGAGCGTCCAAAACCAAGATTCTGCTCTCCCCGTCCTCTTCCTTCCTTTTCCCTTCGCCCATCTAGCCACATTGTCTATACCCCCACCCTACCCAGCAGACACCGATCCGTGGAAATGCATTCAGCTAGCTTGTCAATGGAATTCAATGCAATCGACACACAAACGACAATCCACCAACCCAACATCCAAATACCTTATCGCAGAAGTGGAACGAACTCATTGTGCGGGGAAGTGGTGAGAAGGATATACAAACCAAACCGGAATAGTATGGTATGGTATGGAAGGACGTATGGAATGCACAGAACGGGAAAGGGGTTTTGTTGTTGTTGTTATTGTGGTGCCCGAATGACGTCGTTTTTCTACTCTCTCTCTCTCTCTCTTGCCCCCCTAGGGGTATTGTATCCGTCTCGTGTGACATCGTGTGCATATATGTGTGGGTGTGTATGTGTGTGTATTATTTGTATTATCTATTCTATTATATTTTACCTTGTCTTCTTTCTATTTTGATTCTGTAGCAGTTGAATTATTGACCTTGGTATATCCACCTCCAACTACTAACTATATTCTAATGTTTGTAGTCATTTTTACCTTCTTGAGGCGTCGCAAATCTATACATGAAGGAATGGTGTGGTAGATGATGGATGAAGACGAAGGCGTTTATACTATATAGTATATCATAGTATCGTGTGTGAATGAAATTGTATTTGGGGGTTTTCGGTGTGTTGTCGATAGTAATATTAATTAACTGTATGGGTAAAGTTATGATTATTCTCATTTCTGCGTATTCGGTCATACTATCTAGAGAACAGAAGCAAGCAAGCAAGCAAGCAAAATGGATGAAGACTTGGTGAGGGGGTTGGTGGGTGTGACTGAACTAGATTGTTACTGTATACGGTGAGGGGCAGAATTCTGTCTTTGTTTTTATTTTGCTTTGTGGGTTGATTGATTGTCTGGTTTTGGAAGGCGAACAGCAGAGAGAATAAGAGGAAAAGGTGGCTACAACGAGATGAAAGGGACAAACGTGATCAAAGTGAGTACCAAGAAACTGGATTAAAACATCAAAGGGATCAGATCAAACTCCGACGAAACGCACACGACATTCATAGTATGAATCAATGTAGGAAGAAATGAACATCAGATGGTTTGAACAATCGAGATATATTGGAGATGGATGGGTCATGGGAACTATTATGCCTAGTAGCGAGTACTTTCTTCCAGGCAGTTGTAATGACCTGTCTGATTGGACGGAGTAGAGTTCATTTCATTGAACTGCATTGGATTGGATTGGATTGGGATATATGGAGATCCTACACCCCCTAAAGAGGGTTCGGAGGGAGACTGAGGAGATTTCGTTTAGGACAGAGTCATCGAGAATAGGTGGATAGGGGAACAAAAAAGAGTAGTCGGGATATATCGCAACAATAAAGTCAACAGCTGGCTGGCTGGCTAGCTTAGACGTACTGAGACAGCCATCTGATACCTTCACCGTATCCTACATAGCATAGAACGATTAGCTCCTGATTGACACCGACTTGGACATCGAATTTTCCACTCACCCTGTCTCATGACAACACTGCACATGAACACCTCAATGGGCCGGATTCCCTCAAGAGGAACCTTGCCCTTACCCGTGGTCTGGTACAATCCAAGCTGGTGGCGAAGCTCGTCCTCGCTAACAGCATCGGGGTGGTCGATCTTGTTTCCGAGGATCAGGAAGGGAACCTTGGCCAGCTCCTCCATGGCAAGGAGGGCGTCGAGCTCAGCCTTGGACTCGGGGAAACGCTCGTGGTCCTTGGCGTCAACGAGAAAGACGATACCGCTAACTTCGGGGAAGTAGTCCTTCCACAGACGACGAGCTATTTAAAGAGAGTTGCTACATTTAGTTTTCTGGCTTTGCTCTATAACACGGGGCTACGAGGTATGTTACTCACCCTGCTGGTGACCACCCAGGTCAAAGGTCGTGAAACGGTTGTTGCCGATGGCGAGCTCTTCGGATGCTGTATTGAAAGAAGTGCGGTTAGCCCTTGTCCGCGATATCCAGTTTCCTTCGGTCGCTGTCGCATAGTCTCTCGCTAGCATGGTCATGTAGGCAATACGTACTCGGGTGAGCAGTGGGCTGGAGGATGGCAACCCGGTCGTTCTATTATCGAACACAGATGTTAGCTTATCGTTCAGCTCTCTCGTGGCCCTATCCCTGCCGTGGTGGCAGTCCCTTCTGATTGAAGTCCATCCCATGCGTTGTCATATCCACCGTCGTCGCCACCAAAGCGAGGCTCGCTCGCGAAAGCAATGGAGCTCGCATACCTTCAGCATGTGCAGGAGGGTCGTCTTTCCGGCATTATCGAGACCGAGGAACAGGAGCTTGGCGTGCTTGTTGAGCAGGCCAAGGGAGGCCAGAATATCGTAGACTATTCGAGAATAATATATCAGTAACTTGGCACACAAGAGACCCAGAGAGCAAGAGGAAAGATGATGGAGAATCAATGTATCCAACATGGCGTGGAGGGTAGGTCTGCAGACCACCTGATGATCGGGGCCAAGTCGGCGGATGGCAAAACAGGGGACTACCTACACCAGTTAATGAGCCACATGGTGGAAATCGACTCAGAACCTCAGACTATGGATTTGTGAATCGGATAGCAGCACGAGGCAGGTGCAAAATGGGCCAAATGGCGGTGGTGAACGGCTAGGCTGGAGATAAGAGCAGGAGAAGGAGCCAGGTTGCGGTGGCCGACAGTTGACGTTGGACTTTCGCTTGCCCGGACGCCTAGCCGAGCGCTTAAGCCAACTCAGCCGCCGGGAGATCATCCGCCCCGATCGAGTCGTTGGAACAACTAGAATACTATGAATTACATTTCTTTTTTTACACTATCGTCAAGTTACGCAGGAAAGTTCATCATACGTTGGCATATTCAATGACACAGTCATTCGCTCAGTATCTACAAATTCGATAACGAAAGCAAACGGGGTATACGCGTAGCAAACCGCCTCCATGCAACCCGGGCTAACAGAGCAATAATGCCGACCGAAAGTCAAATCCGCCGCTCAGCAGCGCGGAGGTGAACAATGAAGAAAAGGAAGAAAAGAAAGAAGGAATAAACAAGCTATGTATAGTGGGAAGGGCGAAGAGAAAGGGGGACAGGCGAAAAGAAAGAATCAAAGGTAGCCACCCCTGTAAAATGCAGACGGGACCCTCCGTGCGAATAGGAATCCGATGGACACGTTGTGAGGACAAGAATAGTAACATCGAAGACAAGGGTGTAGCGAACAGCGCTCAATTGGGATTTGTACACCTCGTCGATCCACTGGTCATGAAAGTGGACGACTGAAAGGGTGATAAGAAAAATTCGAACTATGTACAAGAATTTATCGAATCCCGTGCGGAATTTGAGGTCTAAACAGATAGGACGAGCTGGGCGTTCTCTCCAACGCCGTAAGCTCTGCACCTCTCTGCAACTTCGAGGCCAAGCTCCTTCATCCGTTCAGCACCTTTTCCGGGGATCGGTCGCCGTACCATCTGCTCCTTGGCAGCTTTGCGGCAATGCTGACGCCAGAACTTCTCCTTGCGTTTCTGGCGTTTTTTCTCGAGACCCTCAACAATATCAATGGGGCCTCTGGTGTGCACCTCACGGGTGCGTGACGACTCGCGCTCCGGCGATTCGTAAACGGGGACAATGCCAGACCAGCGGTGAGACTTGTCCAGGCTAGTAAAGAAAGGGTTGGGCGTCCGAGGCAAGGACTTGGTACGAGACATCGCGGGCCGTTGCACCAATTCACTGATGTTCAGTCCCCGCGAGGGGACAGTAGGAGCCTCGTCTGCAGATGCCAGGTCATCCTTCGAAGACCGCAGCTTCATCGGCGGCGGCGGAGAGCGAAGACGCTTTGGCGAGGAACGGCCCTGACGGCGAGGCGGAGGTGAAATCATGCGTCTGGGAGACGTACGAGGAGAAGGCTTCTGCGCAGAGTCTCTACCAGTCCGTCCCCGAGGTCCTTCATCCATGACAGATTCCTCGACATCATCCTCCTCATCCTCCTCATCCTCGGGATCCGAAGTGGGAAAGCTGGGATCGATATCTTGAGGGATGACAATCTGCTTGGAAAGACGGCGCTGCTCGATGCAAGACTTGTAGGCAGCCTCCAAAGGCCGGTCTTCGTCGAAAGTTCCGCAGACGAAGTCCGTACTGTCAGGAAGGTTAGGTGTGCCAGGACGCAGCTTTGGGATCTTCATGGGCGATCGGCTAGTTGTCTTAGCAGCTAAGACAGGTGACCATCGTTGCTGCTGCTGCACATCGTTGGCAGAATCGAAAGACGTGTTCGAGTCGCGACGACTGAAGGGGTGGCGAGCAATGTCGATGTTTTGAGGGCTAGTGGCAGCAGTAGTGCTGGTCGGAGCCCAGAAATCGTATTCCGAACCATCATCGCTCTCGTCCGACTCCGCAAAGCCGGCTTCATTATCCGATTCATTTCCATCGTCAGAAGAGAAGTCGTGAACTGTTGAATCGTCATCAGAATCCTCGACATCATCTTCGTCATCTTCTTCGAGTGCCTCTTCCTCCGCTTCCTCTCCAAGCTTTCTAATGGCATTCTCCTTCTTCATACAATCATTAAGCGTAATCTTCTCCGGGTACTCTCCAGACTTCGTTACCCATTCGTCATCCTCCTCGACGGAGCTGGCGAATTCGTGAAAGCGAGTAGCCTCGGACTCTTCGAACTTACCCAACCCCTTGGTCGGGACACCGCGGCGATCGATCTTCTGCTCCTGGGGAGCCTTGCTCACCGGTGAGGGAGCAGCCTTCTCCGGAGAGGCCTTGCGCGCCATGGGAGCAGGTGATCCGCGGGGACGCGGCCTGCAGCCACTGCGAAGTGGCGACCGCTCCCGGCGAGTCTCGGGATCCCGTGCCGGGCAAACAAAGGTGAGAACGGTCCTCCGCTTGGGTTCAGTTGGTGTAACGCTGGCGTCATTGATCTTCGTGACAGGTCGCTGTGGTGAAGGAGTTTGTGGCTTCTGCTCCTGAGCTTTGCGTCCGCAGGCGAAGCTGATACACCGCTTGCGTCCCAGGTTCGCCTCGACGGCCGACTCGCCAACTTCCACAGCCTCCGCCTTCCTTTTATCACCCATCGAAGACGTGGCGTTGGTCAAGTGAGAGGGCAGAGGCGGGCTGGGTGTGTTGGATAGAGAAGGGCTTGTGAGGCCACCATCGCTGGTCAACTCGGCTGTAGAGATGCCGCTAATGTTGGTATAGGTGTAGGAGCGGTAGAAGGAGTGCTCCTGAGATGGTGAATGACGGTCGGCTGGGCTTTGTGGGGGGGTGCTCTTAAGGGCGCGGGTGAGGAGGGACTCCTTGCGGTCAGTCATGGCAGCGGGGGCCTTGACGTAAACGACACCGTCGTCCATGTTGTTCATCGAGGTATTCAAGAACCGATGATCAGGGGGCTCATCAATGTCCTCAACCATGTCAGCTTCTTGAGGGGCAGACTTGCTGGACTGATGAGGTGAGAGTAGCATCTTCAGTAGGTTATGTATTGAGGCAAATGTTCGTTCACCACCACGCAAGTGCGCCATCCCTTCGAAGATTAGATATATTAATAGTGAGAGGGAAGACAGGAACGAGTAGGTGAGAGAGGTTGTGTCAAGAGGTTAGGTGGAGGGTTGGCGGTAGTATAGTGACTCGACGGAATGGTGGCGGTAAGTAGTTATTATGAGGGTATTCAGACGTATTGGTTGATAGGGAAGAGAAGAATGAAGAATAATTGCATCAATCAAAAGAGTAAAATAGAAGATGCACTCTCGTTATCGATCAATAGTACTACTGATCGACCCAGAGGGCGGAAATGAAGGGTGTCCTTAGTAGGACGATGATTGTCATGATATAGAACACATGGTGTAGTAGTAGGAAAGAGGCGTAGTATAGTAGTTTAGTAGGTCCAAGAAAAGGAGAAGAGCGTCAGGTATGCGGCCAAGAGATGGACTTACGCCTTCTTCAAAGATTGGCAGCTCAAAGAGCGCCAGAAGAAGAAGACGCGTCGAAAGAGTTTCGCAGGTGCAATGTGTTGGCAGTGCTAGGTGGGATTGAGATGGAGAGAAGGAGGAATGTAGAGATGATCGGAAAATAAAAATGTAATTAAGGGAGGGGGGGGGAAGTGGTTTGCGGAAAGGCGAAAATAAAAAATAAAAAATAAAAATTCAAAAATCGAAAATTTATTATTAAAAGAAAAATCGAAAATCAAAAATCAAAATCCCAAGGAAATCCTCGGGGGTTGTCGCCGTGGTATTGTTACCATACCCTCAGTACTGCGTATGAACGGGGTATTAGAGAGTCACCAGCGAAAAGGAGGGCGGGTAAAAAGGCGCAGTGTCAGCGAGTAGTAAATGACGATTCGCAGGGTAAAAGAGGCGGGAGAGCGGCGCCAGGTTTGGGAGCGAGTGACCGGGTTAGGGTGTGGTCAGGAGTGGTCGCCACACTCTGGCACGGCAGGGCAAGGCCGAAGGAGGGCAGGGAAAAATGGTGGAAAAACAAAAAAAAAGCACCACGCCCATTACCCACGATTACAATTTCGGATCTTCTCTGGGGCTTCTTTTCCTTCCTTCTGCAGGCGGACGAGAGGCGCTCGGTCCAACCAACCCCGCCAAGCCCAGACCCACCCTGTCGTTTTCCTCGCCAAATCCATGCATGCTTCGGTTCCTGCGGCTACGTGACGCTGGCCAGTACCAATACCGTGGTAATCTTCGCACGCCCGTCAATACACACCTGTCAGGGTACTTACTAGAGGGTAGTTACCGTCAAGCAAAAGGACTCATCATGGAGGGAAGAGGCTTAGAGTCATAAAGGATTGGAGAAGAGTCATTCAAAGGAATCTCTAGCTGAGGATCACGGATCTCATTGTCTGCTATGATCTGCGAGATGACTGTTGTTCCTTTGATCTGATTCAGGAGTCACCGGTTTTGTAACGAGCCGGTTTCATCCATGGTGGGCAAGCCAGCACCGAAGTACAAAAAGCAAGAAAGACTATGAGGCATTTTGGAGGTTGGCTACCAAGGCGGGCTAACCTCGATCTTACTAACCCGGTCAGTAAGAAATCATCCCAGACCATAACTTACTGTGTAGTCTTAATTGGGAAAAGCTACCACCCAAAAAACATCGCCCCCCCTCCATCTACACTAAGAGTCTTGGAAAACTATAGTAGTGGCCGAAGAACCAGAGACTGAAAAGCAAGGGGGTGATCCATTCTTTGTCTTCTAGAACATATTCAGCGAAGAGGGATATTTTATCTGATCGGAATGTCGTACAAATCTCAAGGGTTCAAGACAAGACAGCGAATAACGGAAGGTCCAGAGCAAAGAAAGGCTGTCAGACAAGGGAGGGCGGCTACTCAATGAGAAAGAATGAACCCCCACGAGGACAAGACAGCGCAGGAGCCAGGACAGGCATCATAGCGGCACGAGCTGCGACTGTTGAGTGTGGGAAAGTTGCCCTACCGACCATCGGGGCGGGTAATGCCAGGGTAATTACGAGGGTGACCACGGCAAGCAGACCCGACAACTTGACCGTGGGAGGACCAAAACGAACCCCGTCGGAGTCGCGCCGAAGCCGTTTCAGCGGGCGCTGCGCTTTTGTTGGGCTTAATACACAGTAACCCTTGAGCTTTGAATGGCCACACATAAATATTGCATCTAGCATTGATTTAAGCCTAGCATCAACCCCCCATCAGCCGGCTCCCTTATGCGCTGCTTATGCGTGAAAGTGGTTACTTAAGGTACTAGGTTCCTCGGCGTAGCTACCTCTTCCGACTGATTCGGTCGGTCGCAGCTCCAGGAGCGCATTACCACCCACCCTACCTACTCCATACACACACAGCACACCAAAAGTAGACTACTATGGTAATTTCGTTAAGGAGGCCAAGATAATACTCAAGAAGACAATCACCATTATAGTGCTACCAATGTGGTGCTTGGCACCACGCCTCATTCTCAAAGACTAGACAAAGTGACAACAATTCAAGTCCTTCAAAACACTGCCTCCCTTTCCCCCCCCTGCTGGTCGCCATTATTGTTTTACAATCCCAATAACAATGCTTGGTATTTCTTGTCATTGCTCACTATTGCATTTGCCGAGACTTTCCCTAGCTGGGCTTAAATCTGGTGGTTCCTGATCCGGAAAGCGATGGTCTTGGCCCTGTGACGTAAGGTTTCCCCCTAGTCATGCTGTGTCACGGCAGTCTTGAAGGTTATCTCAGTCTGAAGCAGTAGTAGGAGAAACTTGTGCGATGCCGATGATGCGGGCCAGAACGACAAACTTGCTTGCTTGCTACAGACATCACTGGGAACTGCGAACCAACTGCAACAGAAGTCTCGACGATTCTATCCCAGTTTCTCGGACCGACTAGACCCCTATCCCCCTGCTATGACGAGGTGAATTAAACTGAACAACTCTTCAGCTGCACCAACTCTACCCCAGAGTACTACATTACAACGGCTACCACATCAATAGAACCAAGAGAATAAAAATTCCCCGACTGTGACCGGGATCGATCATGACGCTCTCGAGTCCCGGAAAGTTTGCTTGAGGTTACAGCGACTGGCAATGGGACAAGCAGGTGGTTTCCATGTCTTCGATCTGCCACGCTCAGCTCTCAAGGTTGGTTCCGATAACCGTACCCAGGAAAGCTGGTACCTAGATCGGTCCAAATGAGAATGATGAGTAGTATATGGGAAGCTCAAGCCATGCTACAGAACTCCCAAGTATGTTGTTGACTAGAAGCACCGCCACCTGATTGACAACAGCTGGGAGTGACAGTCGGTCTGGGCGGGAATAGTTGGCTCTTGGCTGTACAACATATTTGGACTCAAGATGATCGGACCAGTGTTGCCAGAAATAACCAGAGTAGATCTGAACTATGCAAATAAGGACTGGAACTAGTAGTCATGGCTCATTGTTCAATGGATTCCCTCAAACAATAGCACGATCTTGGGATAGTTTGTCGCTGGGTTGTTTGACAGCCGAGTTCTTGTCTTTACCCCCGGGTAACTCCACAGTGATCATCCCAGGGATGGTCACCCAGGTAGCAGCCAATTCTGGAGATAGAGTTTCGTCTCATCCAGCAACTTGTCCGTTTATCTCTAGGATCTCAGCCTTGGGGGCCACTAAGTTTAGAATTAGGCATGTCCGACAAGAAAGGCCCAGCAAACTCAGCGCGGGTGGCAGTGATGGGAAGGGGAGGAGCGAGGAGGAAGAAGGAAAAACCCATCGGGATCGGCCTGGTATCCATACATACAGACCGATTCTCATACATACGCCGTACATACGAGACCCGCGCCAAGACCACCCCCAAATCCGGACTGGAAACGATCACAACTGCATCTCAGATCCCATCCTTCCCTTCAGGCGATCGTGCCGTCTTTCCCAGACTGGATTGAGTTGTGGATAGAGTATCTCCGGAAGAATGGAGACAGGGAAGATGGGAAAAAAGCAGTATGGTGATGATGACCAGATCTATGCCCGATGGCAAAGGGCTGAGAGAAGCGGTCAGCGCCAGAACCAGAGAACTACACAGTAGAGACCCAAACTGCATCACTTTTCTCTCTAATGACTGACAGCCGGGCGGCGGTTCACCGAGCTCAGAACCACGGTAGCGATCTCCAAAGCGGAGACCATCGAGCGGGCTAATCCCACCCCCATCCACTTCTACACCAACGGGCTTACAATCAGAAACCTGCACAATTCACGGTCGCTGAGGATGGGGGGGCCCAGCTAGACTACTACCAAACGCCTCACGATTTACGAAGCCTTGAAGTGCTGGGACAAGCTTCATGCGATTCAGGGATAACCCCCACTCAGTGCCATGGCTGCTCCGGGAGATGCAGCTTCCCACAATCGCAGCAGCCAATCTGCGCGTCTCGGGAGTACTTTTTCTTTTGCTGTTTTTGCCCGCTTTTATCCTCGATCCCAGCAATCAGGATCGATCCAAATCTCAGCCAGTCATGGGAATAGGAAGAAAAAAAAACTGCTGGGGAAGTACTAACTAGACTAACTATCGGCACTGGCAGTCCTGGAGTTAGTAGTAACTACTTTCACGAACCAACGGGGTCGGCCCATTTACACGATCCTTCGTTACCTCGTGAAGTCTTACGACTCCAATTGCCCTTTTGGGAATTCCGGCCCTGGTTCATTCAACTAAGTATGCTGGTTGTTATTGTTGCTTACGGCGTGGGTTGAAGCGCCAGTTTCACCCCCGTTACACATTGCATATGCCGCTGTTGGGGGGGGAAGGAAAGAAATGCGACCTTTTAGCGACCCCATGCTTGGCTACCACACTCACACGCACACTCAGTCCCCTCTGAAGGATCCTCATCCATGGCCGCCAACACGGACTCTCCGCACTTGGGGATCGAGAACAAGATACAAGGTACATGCGACTTATGTATACTTATGTTCCGAATACATATGGTCTATGTGCTACGCGGCCTAGAAGCCAAGATTGAAACAGAGTTTCCGCAATTAAACTCCGACCGATGACGGAAAGGAAAAACAGAATAAGAAATATAAACTATATACAATCATTCTTCTCAAGTACTCGTGAACAGCGTGCAAACTTTCGATCCTCATTGAAGAGCTGAAGATCTCTAGCTGAACGGCATGGCCGAGGGGAGGCAAGCAAAACCCGAAGAAAAAGGAAATAAAGAGGAAGGGAAAAAAAAATAAAATAAAATCTTAATTGAAACCCAAACTCCAAAGGCGACTCTTACAGGAGGAGAAGGGAAACAAGAAGTTTGTACAGTAGGCAGGTAGAGTCTGCCACCACGATGGTCACCGGCCACCCGGAAGAGGAAATGCTATGTGGCATACGAACAACCGTCCTCAACCCCATCCAGTTCTTCCTCCCCCAGCCTTTTCTGGGATAGGATGGCTACTATGCTAGCTTGCATATTGATGATCGAACCACCAGCAGCACCTGGTGGAGATTCTGAACTGTCGCGCGTGCGAGTGGACCGCCATGAGATCGATTATGGAGACGAACAGACCAGAGAGCATGAATGGGATTGTCTCTTTGGTGGGCGGATGCCTCAGGGCCACTTTTTTCGGCGCGGTGCTATGGTATAACTGCTACTGCTACTGTGAGAGGTTGACAGGCAGACAGACGCCGGGATCAACGCCGGATAAGAATAGCATTAACCTAACAAACACCGACTGAGCTACCCAGGATTAGGATTAAGGATTAATACGTCCGCTTATCGACCTCCGCGCCCAGGATCAAAAGTCCTGCTGCGGTGGTGTCATTGGCCTGCAGCTAAGGCGACTAAGAGTTAGAGCCTTGTACCTTAATGGCCGACGTCGGCCTAAGAGCGGTTTGTATGAGGGATTTTATTCTCCCTAGGTCGATGCCCTAACGACGCTGACTGGACCGTCGATGGCTTTCTCCTCCTCTTGCCCTCTCCACCAGCACGGGACTCGCGCTTGGATTCGCGCCGGCTTCAAGTTGCGATGCACGACGCACCCAATCGAGTAATCCATGCCCCAGAAAAAAAAGTCCCAGCGACTCGCCAGTCCGGCACGGCAACAAGGTGCCTTTTGCCTGTCTCATGGTCAGCTAGCCGTGCGACAGCCAGCTTCATTTCCGCCGACCCGGCATTGTCCATCTGTACCCCGTACAACCATCGTGATTGATGGATCGGGGTCTTGGACTCGGTCAATTGGCAAATCATCGTCGACTCCCCTGGCTGTTGAGCTAAATCCACCCCCGGACATCAGACATCCCATCCATGGCTTTTATGCGGATAAAAACGAGGCTGCCGTCATGACATATGCAAGTGCGCCTCCCACACTCCGAGCCCATGACTGAGCGCATGGCATGGTCAGTCATGGAAGGATTCAGAATCGTCGACGTTAATCAGCCTACTCCTCCTCGCTTCGATTCAGGTAACCACAATTACCATACCTCCCGTATACCAGGTATCGGGTACACGGAAGATAAGATGGTCGCTAATGCAGTAATCTAGTCGCACATGGGGGGTACGCCCTTGCTTCAGTCACGATGAAGAAAAGAAGAGACAACAAAGAACAGAGCCATTGCAAAGGTGGATGAAGATCCAGAACCCAAGTACTCCAGGACGGGCCGGCCTGCACGTCGAAATCTTACCGTGGTAGGCAAACGTCTAGAATGTGTCAGTGGCAGCATCGAGCCCAGTTCTTCAAAGGGATGGTAATGCTCTCATCATTGAGCGCATGATCGACATACCACACTGGGTTGGGGAGACACAGCGGATCACCCGAAACCTTCAACATCACAGACATCACAGCCTCTTGGGAGAGTCATGATTCCGACTGAGACGGCCAAGAGGGCCGCCAAGATGGCCAAGGCATATACATTTCACCCCATGCAACCATGAAGATGGGGGATCCCTTCACTTGAGAGGCGGAGTTGAAGAACCGAGTGGTCCCCGTTTCGACTGCCCCTTGCTCAGTGCTCATCCCTCCCCTCTGGACATTCCACTGCAGTTCTTGGCAACGTCCTGTGACCTTGCCCCCGGTACGACGGAGAATTGCCGCCAAGATGATCACAGCCAAGTTGCGAACGACGTCTGTTGCGGTGGAATGAGCTACTGGCTAGAACCCCCCATCGGCGTGGGAGAGTGGTCGGTCCCCGGTCTTTCCCGGAGTCCGGAGCTACAGCGACCGACCTACTGTCCGCCGTCGACACATTCCTCCTCCTCCTTGCCTCCCCGGTGCAACTGGTCCAAGAGGATCCCGCGTTGAGTTGGTGACTGGCCAAGGATGCCAAGCGCCATTCCAAATACTTGGGCGAATGACTGCGGCTGTGGGATGGAGGAGGATGGGGGGAAGCATCTCAAGAGCACCAAGTAGATACTGGCCGGTCTGAAAAGGAGTATCACCCCCCGGAAGGTGGGAGATCTTCGTCGATCATCTGCTCCTATATTGCAGGACAAATTCTTGGCGAACGAATACCAAGCATGACCACGTCGAAGTTTGCTCAGGGGGAAAGAGAGAGCGACCAGGCTATGTTGCAGCTTGAATCGATTAGACGTACCCAATTAAGGGGGCTTGGAAGAAGACAAGCTGTCCAGGTCCTCGGACACGTCTGTCTGCACATCACAGATTGTCCACGGGAGCAAGTCGATACCAAGAGACAGAGTGTGTGTTTGTCTAAGCCTCATTGCAATACGGAATAGGTTTAAGATACCCCTTTTCATCTTTCCTCTCCGCTGATCCGGAAGAATAGCAACTCCGGCCAGCAAAGAGCATCTCGCGATTCCCTCCGAGCCGGTGATCGACCGCTCTTTTCTCAGGAAGGGTTGCCAGAGGGGGAATCTCCTGATGGCGGACCGGCCGTTCTGCCAATAACAACCCCGCGATTAAAGTTCGTTCACGCCAGCACAGGTACATATAGTCTACCGGGACTCCAACCAGCAGGCCGGTACCAATGCACTGCAGGGCCCTTTGCAGCGAGACTACTGTACGGCGTAAGGGAGGGAAGTCAAAGCCCGTTGGCGATCGATCTGATCATCGGACAAGGAAAAGGTGGAGAGAGAGAGAGAGAGACGAGAAAAAATAAGAAAAGAGGAGGCGTGTATTGCCGCTTCCAGTAATCTTCTCGAACGTCTGTGGTTTCTCTTCCCCGCAGGGCTGCTGCTACTCTCAACTCTCCGGATTCGTCGTTATGATTCAGAACAGCATCTGATCATCGGAAGCATTATATCATCATCGAGGATGCCCAATACTACCTCGGTCATACTTCGTAGAGGAGGGAGGGGAAAATGCGATCGGCCGCTTCAGCTGGCAGATGGCAGATGCTCAAACCGACGTCATTTCTTTAAATATCTCAACCACTAGAACCACTGACAACAGGCACAGTTAATTAATATTGGTAAATTAATTAAAAGGAATAATGAATAACATCAGTCGGGAACAAATCATTACTTCAGCCAACTACAGTACAGTTAGTAAGTCGTTACTTTGTAGTAGTTAGTAGTTGTCCCTCGTCAGCTGCGACAAAAACAAAAAACCAGTGACATCATACGAGTTCACCTCGACAAACTCTCTCTCCCTCCATCTCCTCCCGTGTGTGTGTGTGTGGGATGATAATTATTACGACGGATGAATGGATGGCTGGCTGATCTCTCCCACGTAAGCGATACCTTTACTCTACTACTACTAGGTAGGTACACCCTACTGTAACAGTTAATGTAACATGAAGCATAAGCATATCATCTCTACAAATCTTACTTTCATCATCATGATTATGATTATTACTATTACTTACTAAGTAACTTAACTAAACTAAATAAGCATGTATGTAAGTAAGTAATAATTCATTTTGATTTCAACATTTTATTTTCTGCCTAATACTAGTACTAATTGTATATGTTGATTTGATTGCATGGTTGATCCCAGATATGTACAAGTTGTAACTATGGTAAATGCCAAGCAGTAGAGCAAATAGGCAGATGCATATATTATAGCATCATTTATTTATATATAGTATGGATTTATTTTTATCACCATCATCATCATACAGTTTACTAACCTACGTAGTTAGTATGATGATGTATATCACTGCAGACCTTGTCGTCATGATCGCTGCTTACTTTCTTCTCAGTTTCTTCTTCTTCACCATCATAACGCATAACGTATAACGCATACATAATCCCCTATGTACATAAGACAGATTATCAAACTAACCCATTAACTTGCTCTGCTCTTAGTTACAAAACTTACAACAAATAAATAAGCAAGGGGCGTAGGTAGTTAGGATATAGTTGGGTTAATAGGTAGTAGTAGTGACTTACTTGGGTATATATATGACATTGAAAAAGCAAGTAAAGTACTTGACTTCAGACAGTAGTTGTGATATGATCGGTTCTATCAACCCCCACTAACTATGATTTATCTATATTCCATGTACATAATTATGTTGGATAATGATAGCATTCTCGTATCTGTAGTTCTTTATTTGCTTCTTTTTTAGTTGTCGTGGGAGGTAGATAAGGCTTCTTAGTGGGGGGTGTGGTTGGGTGATGATTGATGGATGCCCATATGTAATAACTATCATAGATAGTGTTTAGGTACTAGTTGGGTGATGATCTGGCTAAAGGGCTATGATGCGAGGGGGCAGGGGATGTTACGTAGCGACTAAGTGTCTTTGACTATTTGGGGGGTGATGCTGCGTGATTGGAATTATGAATTATGAATTATTGTCTGAATACACAAACTAAACGGTAGTGCTGCACTTGGACCTTCTGAGCTGTAGAAACCATCTGGATGGTGCAACAATCCCTATCCCCATATGGTGACTCGCGTTCATAGATATTGGTTGTCCTCGTAGGCATATGCAGCAACTACTCGACCATGCTGTTGAGCTCGAGTCAGCCTCCACCACCGCACAATCACCTCCTTCGCCCAGAGGATTCGATTTTGTGTTTGTACAACTGCAGCGCATTGTCTGGCAATATCCCTTGCGATGGCTCGGCGCTTCTCATCTCGACGCGTCAGGATCCGTCGCCATGCTGTCTGGAGTACTGTCGCAGCTCGCGCGCGCTTCGTAGCTGGCAGCAGCCGCGAACAGAGGAACGCGAGTGCTCCTATTGTAAAGTCGCTGTCGACGATATGAGTCTTTGAAGAAGGAGACACGAGTTTGGCTGGTCTATGTTAGTCGCTATGGAGGGAGTAATGTCATTGGTAAACTCACCGAATTCTGCACTGCATCCCAATGCCCGCAGACGCGATTCTAGAGATGCTGTTCTGCTATGATCCTCGGCATGCTCCACGAGATATCCGTCGTATTCGTCAACAATACTTTCGTATACCTTGCCATCGCTGAAGGTTGTGCTCAGGTTGTCAACCGGTACGCCCTTGAGATGTGCAAGGGTAGATGCCCATTGCTTGAGCAGCAAGGTTGGTTCGTCGCTCTCATCATTCCCGTTCAATGGCATGCCATCCTCACCAGCCTGGAAAGCAGTTTTCTGCCTCAGTCTTTCAATCTCCTTTTTGACGTCCCCCCAGTCTACTAGCCCTGCAAGGCCCCATGTGCTGACCAGCTTCCACAACAACGCAATAGTCTTCTCGCGATGTCCGTCGACGATATCTTCTGCGCGTATGTCTTTCGCGAGCTTCCTTGTCTCTTGGGCAGAAGCCAGCGCATCCAAGGCAATTTGAATGTTAAAAAGCTTTACCGTGCGGCTCCTGCATGGGAATTTCAGATGACTCGAAAGCGGCAAACTTCCGTTCGACACTTCACCGGATGAGGTTGAACGATAGAATAACAGTTCCACAATCTTTGTCAACCTCACACCGTCCCGGAGATCTACAGCAAGGTTGTCAACCCGGTAGTCATATTCTTCCAATGGATGCTGCTCAAAACTCAATTCGCACTCCAAGTGGCTCAATGCTTTGATGATGTCTCCGCACGATGGTAGTAGGAACCGACCCAGTGCCTGGAGCACCGCACCAGAGGACTTGACAGGCGACGAAGAGAGGAAAAGGCGTCGCGGAACGGCTGTCCCATGGCACATTCTCGCTTTGTCCAGAAGGACAACCATCATTATGCTTCGAAGAACAGTCCGACGGTATGCCTGGCCAGCTACACCGCCATTCTCTCCCACAGCGATCTTTTCTTGAGGGTCAATATCCTGGTTTCGTAACAAGAATGCTTCCAGGAATCCTTCCAACTTTCGTTTCATCGCCTTGTCATTATCCGAGGCATCGCCTCCATGAACCAACTTAGAGGTGGGTATCTTCCTTCCAATGATTGCTTCCACCGCGGCTCGCAATGCTCGTAAGTCGTAGGTCTTGATCCAAATATCCAAGAACTTTCGTTTCAAGCCCAGATCGTTGTAAAGACGGCTACTGCGCGTGAGCACGTCTTTTGGTATGCTCAAAGCGCCGTATAACAATGATGCTTGAAGACGTTTGTGGAGGTGTGCGAAAGATGCTCCCTGGTACAAGGTGAGGAGCTCATGTCGAAGCATGGCGTGGTTGTCGACTTCTGGCTCCTCACAAGTACATTGGAACATTTCATTGACCAACTGTGTTATTGCCACTTCCTGGTGCAAGAGCCAATTCTCTTCGTACAGTGCCGGGTTTGTGATGTTGTCTGAAATAACTGGACAATCCTTCGCAATAGGCTTCGTGTTGTTACGCGAAGTAGTCGATTTGGATACTATGCATGTTTTTGATGGCTTCTGTGACGTAGATAGATTTGAGGTTCGCATAGAAGCGTTTCGGTTGTAGTCTGATGTCAAATTTGGCTTCATGATGCTATTGTGTTCAGATTTGTTCTGTCGTGCTTTAGTGGTGTTTTGGCTGTTGCTCAGTACATTGCTCCTCTGCTGAGTGTTGCTCGTCTTGGTAGATAGAGGCTTGGATGTAGGCTTTGCAGAGGCATTTGTAGCACCAGCTCTTCTAGCTGCCATCGGAGGAGCATTTAGGCGGTTTCCCGAATCCTCCTTGGCTTTCAGGGCCTGATGTATTTTCTTGCCTTCAGCGATAACTGTTCCTGGAGGCACATTCTCCTTTCCGCCATTCTTCCCGGCAATGTCGTGATGAATGCAGGACTCCTGCATTACTTTAGAGCTTGGCTTCAATGGAGCTCGTTGGGCAGACGATGCGAGAGATCGTTTGGCTTGTCGCTTCTTAGCAATCTGTGACTCCAAGCTGTTGACTTGAGTATCTTCATTGATACACTTGTCCAAATTGTCCGACTTGGGCGGGCTGAAGAGACCCATAAATACACTGGCCACTGTACCGTCATCCGGGGGAATATAAACCGTGTTACGGCGTACATCCGTCTTCAGGCTATTTTTTGCCTTCTCCTGGCCATCTGCTCCATTGATGCGCATTAAAAGCGCGTTGTTTTTCTCTGTGTCCGTTCTCTTACTTGTTGACTTGTGAGTTAATCCTTCTTGACGCGACTGCGTGTCTGGGCTCGGGCCGAAGCTGATTTTGGGACGAAATCTCTGAGCTGGCTGCGCAAGTAAGGATGTTTTGCGGCTCGTGGTCGATGCTGCTATGCTCGAATCCCGCTTCGCCTTGTATGCCGGCTGTGTAGGATTCTCTCCATGGTCTTCGTGAATAGCAAAGGATGTGCCTGTCTTGGTCCGTCTTCTGGGCTTGGCCCCCGTAAGTACAGACTGTTTAATTTCGGTCGTGAACTCGATGTTAGCAGTATCGTCCCAGTTGCCCAGACTATCTTCCCACATGCTGTCGGACGAGCTTCTGTTGCTGCCTCGGCTGAAGATTGAAGTGCTCGTCCTTGAAGGGCAAGGGGTCGTGGCTTCGTACAGAAAGCCGGACATATTGAGAATAATGCAAGTAGAATCCTTCTAAAGTAGTCTTGAGGTTTAGGCAGTGCCTCTATTCCATGGGGATAACTCGTAAATAACTTTCCCGACTACTGTATGGCGTGTCAGGTTCAATTGTCGGATAGGAGTTAATATTCAGTCGACATTAAAAGTAGAAGAAGGCCTTCAAATTATATGATGGGATGACCTGTCAAGCTTCGGGGGCGAGATCGAGGCTAAGTCATAGAAAGTTTGGTCGAGGATGGGTCTGAGGTATGGAGACGCGATGTTGACGCTGCGTTGCCCGTGCAACGGGAAGGGGGTTGACACCTTAGGCAGCGACCGTGGATGGCAAATCGAGACACCTTCAATCACAGTTGCTCCTGCCTGGCCAAGGTCATTGAACATCCTTCACTAGGTGACTCGCTGTGGGTGCTACCTAACGTAGTCCTCCACATTCTTCATGGTCCGATGCGACTACCGACTACTTTTCTAGAATACTATTTTAGTCTCTTTTAGGTTAGATGTCGATCACAT